AGTAGCTCCCAAAAGGTTACGCCTGCAGCTTTGTAGCGAGCAGGCTCGATTATTTTTCGGTCGCGTTTCGGTTGTGCCTCATTCCGTTTTTTCAGGTTGCTCGTGGACGCTATGCTTGCAGAATTCCAATGAATAAACATAAATGGTGCAAAGCAGAACAAAACTCTTCCGAGAGAAGCATAATTGTTTTGATAATACACCAAAAGCGCGAGCTGCATTCTTTTTTTGTTTAAGCTTTCTTTTCCTCTAAATTCTCCATACGTTCTTTTACCGCGCGTAGATAGATGCCGATGTACGCTACTAGAGGACCATAACTGGTGCATGATCGAAAGCTGCATTGCAGCTTTATGCTCGATGCAGTCATTACACGGTCGCGTCTTACGAACTCGCTAGCGCTTCCGGCGGCAAGACGATTACAAGCAAAGCCGCTGGCCGCTGCCATGCCTCTGCTCGCGCGCACAAGCCCGTGCAATTTCAAGCTGCCAAATCTATGTATATGTTCACGCGCAAGATGGACGCGCTTGCAAGCTTGGGGCACTTGGGGCACCAGGTGGGCTGCCATGCTTGCAATAGACCTATTGCTATATTACCCAAGCATCAAGGAGAATGCAGGGTTTTTGTTCCACACGCCTTACGGGCACGCCTTTCTCGTATGAAAGATTCGAAGAAAATAACCAAAATAAAGCCCTGACGAACGCGCGTGCAAGATGTCATTTGTTTTAGGTATCTGCTTTAGAAAAGTTAAAACTGCTAAGGCCAGCACGTGTGGCGCGTGGAACACCAATCCTTGCATTCTCCTTGATGCTTGGGTAATATAGCAATAGGCCCATTGTTTATACGAAGATCAAATAACGAGAGTACAACTTTGAAACTCTTTTAATATTATGATGGGGGCGTCGACCGCCGGGCCGATCACCGCCGTATGACGAAGCGCTGCGGCGCTATCGGTGAGAGCGAGCTCAGCTTGGTACACACGTACCCGCCCACTCTCGCGGATACCGCCGGAGCGCTTTGTGTGGCCCGCCAGCCGGTCTACGCTCCCGTCATATTGTTAAAAAAAAAAACATTGGACAGCTGTACTCATAGTTCGTTTCAGCTTAAACAGCAACTCCGGTAAATATTTTCGAAGTTGGGATTACGACTGTTTTCCGCTCGCTCAGTGTCCCTAAATCACAAAATCTATCTTTTTTTTTTCTTTTTTTTTCTTTACTGCGTGTAGTTTTAAAAATATCACGGTTCAAACTTCGGTTTCGGCAGCCTACGGCAAAACGGAAACTCTCTGCGGGAGAGGGAAGGCAACACTGATATCAGGTGCACGGCTGCGGTGTGACGTCACGGTGGTGCTGCGGTACGCGTCGCCCAGTGTTGCTGGACTTAAAGCTAACCCGCTTGCATCTTTAAAATCGGCGGTATTAGCGGAGTACCCGGCTTTACTTTGACGTAATATTTCGACTGTAATCCTATTTCGTGCCACTAAGGCGGTACCAGTTATTTATTTTGGGTTCGTTTTTGACCGAAGTTTTAAGTCCAGACGCAGCCGACGCTGCGAGCTAAGGGGACCAATGAAGCAGCGTCAAAGCCACAACTCACTAGGCCTATTTGTTTACGCTGTGGCTAGCATTACGTCCGGGCAGAGCACTGAAACGTGTATACCTAACCCTCCCCCCGCCGACCTCTCTCTCCCCCGTGAACCTAGGGAAGGCAGAGAATTGGATGCAACGAAACATGACAAACACCATGATGGCGCGCTTTTGACGCTGTCTGCTCGCTCCCAGGGGCACTCAAGCAAATTTTGAGATCGTCTATTTATGGTAATAACTCAATCTACGGGCTCTAAGAATAACAAAAGATCGGAAATTACACTCATGGTGTCCGATTACACTATTAAAGATCTAATCAGAAATGGTGACACGTCCCTCTTTCCGCGCCTTAAGTAGACACCATAGGGCGCCGTTAGATGGCGTTTCCAAAAAAGAATGGCTGTATTACCTCTCCTATACCCAAAGATTCGACGTTTTTCGCAAAATGTAATGCAGAACCCGCCCAAGAGCAGCAATGGTAACGTTCTGTATGCCCACGCAAGTGACTATGTTTATTGGTTGACTTTTATAAAGGTGATCAGGACGCTAAGATGCCCCCCCCCCCCCCTCCTCCCTCCCACCGACACTCATACACACAAGAGAAAAAAATGACCGAGTATTTCTATCGCTATGAACTTACTATAGTCCGTCTCACCCTACGATGGAGTAGGGCTCGAAGGCTGGCGGGCCTCAGGAAAGCTTGCATCCGCATGGCGAACGAGTGCGCGAGAGACATTCTGATACGCAGACTACGAAGTGCACTAATCGAACGCCTATGGATGCTCTGTTTTGATAGCGCGCTATTTTATGATTGGTGAAATAAAGGTATACATGGTATTTAGTTTCATAAAAGTTTTTGCCATATTTCCTAAACATGTTAACTGTTTAGAGAGGTTGGACGGCACGGCGGGAAACACGGACGTAAAGTCGTTACGCTTTAGCCATAACAATCCAAACCAATCCAACTTTCGTTTACGTAAGAAGTACCCGGACCCGCACCTCCCTTCCGCACGTGGTCCGTACATACGCCCCCGTGCCGAACACTTTAACCGACTCATGTTTATGTTTAATGGCCACTGGTTATGATCCTGGGTTCTCCTTGCCCCATCACTTCTAAACGGTATTTAAACCCTTTAGTAGTCTTCAGTAGTAGCAAGCATACGGAGCCTCCGTGATGGCTCGGTAAGCAGACGAAAAATTCGCCTCCCCATGACGTGTCTTGGCGCACTGATACGTACGACGGAGCAAATATACCACGTGGTTTCTAACAGGCTCGTGATTGGACCTGGCGGCCTGCAGCATTAGGCTTTAGTTCATCGCACACTCTAAAAAATGTTTGTGCGTCTACATTCACGCACAACCCTCGGAGAGCCAATCACCGCAACTTACGGAGGCAGCTCAGCGAATGACGATGCCGAAACATATGTTTAGACAAAAAAACGCGGTCTGAGTTGTGACATTAAGCAATGCAAAACGTCACGCTTGCATTGCTTAATGTCACAACTCAGACTGCGTTTTTTGGTCTAAACATATGTTTCGGCATTGTCATTCGCTGAGCTGCAACCGTAAGTTGCGGTGATTGGCTCTCCGAGGGTTGTGCGGAAAAGCAGACTCACGGGCTTTTCTTAGAGTGCAGGATGAGGCAGAGTATAGATGTCTTGCTGTCGAGAACTTTTCAATTTTTTTGACTAGCGCCAAACACGCAATGGGCCATCAAAAACAAGCGTTTACAAAAAGCACTCGAGTTCCCCTTGAATAGAGAACAAATGCCATGATTGACACTTTAGTAACTGACACTGTGGGGCGTGGTTTATTTTGAAAAAAAAAAAAAGGCATATGTCGAGAGACAGATTAATATTTTCTTGTTACCTCCCGAGCGGAAAGTGTGCGCAGCGTGTTGCATAGAGGCGCCTCCGTTGTATGGATCGTGTATAACTTTTAAGAATAAATCTCTAGATATATCGCCGCCCGATTCAAAGGGTTCAGTCGCATCCATCCATCCATTCATTCACGTTCTTTCCTTCGTAATTGGTCGTTCCGCGCTCTTATCGGTTAATGCAGCAATCTGATTGGCTGCGGAGGGATAATCAGATGTACGGGACTCTCACGCTGTGGTTAATTACAGTGTAACGCTCACGCCGTTCAGACCCGTGGAATTGCTGCAGGAGCCGACGCATCCGTTGATGTAGCGCACGGCTGCCAGGAAGTGGAACAGCCTGTTCCACTTCCTGGCAATGCAATGCAAGAGTGACGTTTTGCATTGCTTAATGTCACAACTCAGACTGCGTTTTTGGGTCTAAACATATGTTTCGGCATCGTCACTCGCTGAGCTACCTCCGTGACTTGCGGTGATTGACTCCCCGAGTGTTGTGCGGGAAAGTAGACGCACAGACATTTTTTAGAGTGTAGTAGTGCACATGCGTATGATTGGTTTTATTGACAGATTCCTGTGCTGCATGCAAAGTATGTATACAACATGTAACAAAACGAAAATACTCGCCGGTCAAATTTTTTTTAAAACTCGGATTTCACCTAAAACTCAGAATTCCGAGGTCACAAGAGAAAACAAAAAAAAAAAGAAATTAAGATTGAGGGTTGGGCTATTTGGGTCTGACTCAGAACATATATATATATATATATATATATATATATGGGTGGTTTCATCTCAACTCAGGCACGGATTTAGGGTCGAATTTTTAATTTTGACGAAAAAAATATATGTTTTGGGGCAATTCCTATAATAAAAGAAGACGCAAACGGTTATTTCGTCGGAATTTTTGTTCTCAAGTTATGGACCGTTGAAACGGTCAAGGTGGAAATTGATGTTTTTCCAGCCTATCGGAGGTGCCATATTTCACTCCTTCCCTTTTCCCTACTTTTTACGCTACATCAATATAACTTTTTGGGAACACTCTAGACATAGGCTTTTTCATGCTAATTAAGCGTCCAGGTCATAACATTCTTAATGATATTTTTTTTTATTTGTCAAACCGCCTCTCTGTGACGATATTTGACGAAGTTCAGCAAGCTGTGCTGTGTGACCTAATCAACATATTTTTATGATCTTTATACCACCGTAAAGCGCCAATTATGCTCTTTCTTTGAGTATAATTTCAATATTTTGCCACAAGTATATATTGCGCTACATGTGCCTGAAAAACGAATATTTCGAAAAACTAGCAAGTTTGGAGTCGATTTTCTAAAAAACTCCACTTTTTATTTTTTTCATTTTTTATTCACAGTTAGTTAATATAGTAGTCTATCAGGAACTACCAACAGAAATTGTAATATATTGTTTGTATGGCCGCTATTAAGACTCGAATCTCGTGCTATGAGCGTTTTGAACGGGACTTCGCACAGGCGCTCTGCTGAGCAGAATTTTGGCCTATATAAGGTTTTCTATTTATAATTAGCAGTTACCTAATATCCAACCATAAACATTAAAAAGAAATTTGAGTAGTGCTCTTAAAAAAAAGTTACTTAGAAGTCCGTATTCACAAGTGCGAGCGCATCTTTTTGTCCCAATACGGGGGAATGCAGATCGTTAGAGAAGTCCTCTGAGGCCTTTTGCTTTCGGCTCCAAAATTTTACAGATGCCACCCTAGTCAGGCGGCGTGTATAGAATACTTTATCTTGAACATCACGCGGCTACCGCCTCTATCTTCGTCGGGGTCCTGGAGCCTCTAAGGATTATGCCTTTGGATGCGACCGACACGGAAACCCTGATTGTCGGGAGAACAGGCGTTTCGAGGTTAGAGTTTACGTCGCAAGCCCCCCTCTGTCTCTCCAAGCTCCCCTCCTCGTCCTTCTAAAGGCCCGTTCACACTCTTGCAACCGAGTACGACCGAGAGAGACCAGACCGGTTTTTAAGCCTCTTGCGATCTCTTAGGACCAGCTCCGCAGCAGCGCGCCTGGTCCTAAGAAGTCGCAAGAGGATTGAAAACCGGTCTGGTCTCTCTCGGTCGTACTCGGTTGCAAGAGTGTGAACGGGCCTTAACACAACCGTGCCACTAATCCGCGGGCACTAAAAGAGACGCCGCTGCTGCGTGGCACTCAGATTACGCGCGAGGCGGAGAGCGATTGTTTAAGTATGGATCGACGGGAAGATTGGGGACCCAAAGGAAGCCGAATCTTCGCACGTCGTCTAACTGATAATAGCCTTCTCGGTCCCTTTCTGGCTCTTGAATTCCTAAGCCACGGCGGAAAGCTGGTACTCATTCTAACTCCGTGCTGTCTGAGCTGGATGAACTTAAAACTGCTCCTGCTTTCAGAAAGCCAGAAGTGTTCGTTACTGCCATGGCTAATACATTATTCAGTTCAGACCGGAAAGTGTGCGCCGACTGTTCAAGGAGACACAAGAGAAGAGTGTTTTACGGACGCCATTTTCGTCAAGTCTCGGAGCTAAACCTAAGTTTTCTTAAGCAAGTTCTACCGGCTGAGGACGCCCAGCGCGTAAGCCCTGGAGATGTTCTGTGCAATAACTGCTACACAATGTTCTTGGGTCAGATTGAAGAACATAACCAAGGACAGGAAATGTTGTCATCAAGCTCATCGTCATCATCCCTGAAACCAGCGGACAGATCATTCGTTGACGAGGAAGCCCTGGTCCAAGGAGTGTCTGAAGCAATTGATGCTGCCGAAGTAAGTGTGACACCACTTAAACTCCCTTCTAGCGTGACCCCACGAAGTCGTACCGGCTATGTTAAGCGAAAAAAATCCGAGATAACCGCGGACTTCAAAAAGAAAATTGGTCGTAAACTAAGTGACGTGTACGGAGAACCTACGGGCACAGACAAAGAAGATCCATGCTCCTCGTGCTCCGACTGGGTCAGCAATTTACGAGCAGCCTACGTCAAGAGCGCGTCGCAGCTAGAACGCTACCGCCTCTTAACTCTCTTTCCATCTAACCTCAAAAAGAAAGATATCCTGAAAGCAATTCCTGAAGTGACGAAGCATGCTTTGGACCAATCAAGAAAGCTGAAAAAAAAAATGGGGGTCTGGGCGTCACCTGACCCATACCAAGGACATGCTCTCAACGAAAACGATGTCGCTCTTGCGTTGACTTACTACACATCAGATGCAAAAGACTGCTCAAGACAAAGCCCGAACAAGAAGGATGTCGTGAGGCTTTTTATTGATGGTCAGGAAGTCTTCGTCACGAAGCGATTTATGACGAGATCTATTAGGGAAACCTACAAAGAATTCAAGGCGGCCAATCCCGAGTCAAAAATGGGCCTTACAAAATTTTATTCTCTTCGGCCCAAGTGGGTTAAGAAACACCCTGTACATGAAGAGTGTGTGTGTGTATGCTGCGCCAACTTCATACTCTGACATCTCTGTCAAATGCGGCGGGGAAGACCATGACCTTTGAAGACATCCAGAAAATGTTTCTTTGTGAAAATCCTTCCCAAAACTGCTTCTTGCTGAGGTGTGAAGCCTGTTCGAACCGGAAGGACATATCCCTCGAGATGCTAGGGATGAGCGCTGAACATGAACTGGAGTTGGCACTGTGGGAATCTGGTGGCGAGTTGGTGAAAAAACATTTGGAGGCCACTGCTTTTCTTAACGAACTCAACAAGTGGACGAAGAAATACATACCCCACTATTATATTCGGCGCGCACAACAGAGAGCAATATGGCTTGAAAAAGCAAATGTGAAGCCACGTGTCGTAGTCCTCCACTTTGATTTCGCCGAAAACTGGAGTATTGTGCTCCAACGTGCAGTGCAGGGATACCACTGGAAAACCAAGATGGTGACAATCTTCACCTGCGTTGCGACGACCACGAAGGGAACACTAAGTTTCGGCGTCGTGAGTGACGATACCTGTCATGATTCTGCACACGCGCTCTTTGCGCTCACAATGATTGAAGACAGGCTCGAGGAACTCGTGCCCGTTTTTTTGGAGCTGATCTATGTTTCGGACGGCGCTCCAAGCCATTTCAAAAATCGGCACCAATTACACGAATTTCAGAAGAAGTTTGTCGTCAGCAGGTGGATATACTCGGCGTCAGGGCACGGCAAAAGCGCGTGCGATGGAGTGGGTGGTGTGCTGAAGCATCATGCGTCACTGCATAACTTGAAAACAACTGAGCTGAGCTCCATAACTAACGCGCGTACGTTCGTTGAAGCTCTCGGCCAGGAAATCAAGGGGATAACGCTTCTCTTCATCGACCAAGAGGAGCTGTCCCGTTATCGGGAGCTTAAAAGGAAGGAGTGGGAGAAGGTAACCCCATCGAAAGGCATCCAATCTTCTCATGTGTGGAGCAAAGCAATGGGGGAAGGGGGAGGTGATGTGGTCCTAGAAAGAGTTTACCAAACCCCAGAATAGACAGAGCTAAATGGTGGGACCGTGAAAAGGCCGGACCGTTTCAACAGTGCGTTCATCCTTGTCCCCCTGTGAGTGCGCGCTGTGTGATCAGACGACGCGCCATAGACTTTGACACTGAACTGACTGCAATTTGGACAAAGCGAAAACTGGCTCAGAATCGCATCAACCTATTGTCTCGAAATGTGCTACGTCGAAAGATGACTATCCCTATCCCAGGTGTTTATCACTGTTTTTGTGTGAGCAGCGCCGTGTATATTATTGAAAAGGTACTGCGTCGTCTATCCGTAAACCAGACGGAATTTGGCGGTGTTCAATTCGTTTTAAAGTTTATATTTGTATTAACTTTGAGTGTATTTTATGTTAATTAGGAGTATATGAGACATTTGGTCAACACATTTTGATATATTTTATGCAATGAACATGTTTAGGCTACAACATGAAATATTACTTCCCTTCTCTGGTTACGTGTCGCATCTTGAGTTTAAAATTCCGAACTTTATATGTAATTGTCATATTTTCTTATGTCAAACAGATATGCAGTGCATATACATATGTGCGATTTAGTATCTGACGCTTAGGAAGTACGGTCTATTTTGTGCACATACGGGCTCTTTCGTAAAATAACGAGCATTTCGTGGCGTGTAAGTCTTCAAATGCGTTAGTCATGTGTTTAGGTTTCATTTCTATTTGCAGTGATTCATGCCAGGTTACTTAGACGTTTCCCTCGTGACTTAAGTTTGTCCGTGAGTTTAGATGTTACGTACTTCTCCGTCAATACATAAGGCGAAGCTCACACACCTTTCAAATCACCCCAGTGCCAAGTAAATAAATGTTGTAAGGATAAATATTGTTACTTCACTTGCTTTTACGCTCAGATATTGTGGTAAGTACTAACATTAAATAGAAAACTTTACATTGGCCAAAATTCTGCTCAGCAAAGCGCCTGTGCGAAGTCCCGTTCAAAACGCTCATAGCACGAGATTCGAGTCTTAATAGCGGCCATACAAACAATATATTACAATTTCTGTTGGTAGTTCCTGATAGACTACTATATTAACTAACTGTGAATAAAAAATGAAAAAAATAAAAAGTGGGTTTTTTTAGAAAATCGACTCCAAACTTGCTAGTTTTTCGAAATATTCGTTTTTCAGGCACATGTAGCACAATATATACTTGTGGCAAAATAGTGAAATTATACTCAAAAGAAAGAGTATAATTGGCGCTTCACGGTGATATAAAGATCATAAAAATATGTTGATTAGGTCACACAGCACAGCTTGCTGAACTTCGTCAAATATCGTCACAGAGAGGCGGTTTGACAAATAAAAAAAAATCATTAAGAATGTTATGACCTGGACGCTTAATTAGCATGAAAAAGCCTATGTCTAGAGTGTTCCCAAAAAGTTATATTGACGTAGCGTAAAAAGTAGGGAAAAGGGATGGAGTGAAATATGGCACCTCCGACAGGCTGGAAAAACATCAATTTCCACCTTGACCGTTTCAACGGTCCATAACTTGAGAACAAAAAATCCGACGAAATAACCGTTTGCGTCTTCTTTTATTATAGGAATTGCCCCAAAACATATATTTTTTTCGTCAAAATTAAAAATTCGACCCTAAATCCGTGCCTGAGTTGAGATGAAATCACCCATAAATATATAAAGCGAGGACTTTAAACTGAAATTTATCAGAATTCCCATATAAAAATTGTAAAATTGCACATCCGCAAAGAGGAGACATTGAGGTTCAAAACCCGGAGAAGCCGCACGACACTCCAAGCATGTACAGACTTACCGAAAAAAGCCTCTTTGCGCATGTGCGGTTTTACAATTTTTAGATGTGTATTCTAATACATTTCAGTTGAAATAATGCCCTGATTTTTATGTGGGTTGCTTATCCTCTAGGCCCCTCTCCCCCCCCCCCCCCCCCCCATTTTTTTTGTGTATAACTTCATAAAAATGAAAGCCGGTGTTTTATGCACCAATTTTAAAAGAGAATGGTGTCAGCGGTCCTGAAGAGTGGCCAGTTATCTATCATTGAAGTACGCAACTGTTACATTCGGAAATAAAGGGGAACTGAGTAAAAACCCCAAATTTTCAGCGAAAAAAAAAAAAAAAAAAAAGAAATTTCGAAACACGTTTTTCCGATTTCGCGAGAAATAAACTCCGAAAACACGGAATCGTCCATATTCGCAACTCCAACGCCCTATAGGTGGCGGGGCGGTAGTTCAAGGATGGCGGAAAAGAAGGGGATAGATTCTCCAGGATATCTCGTGCGCCTGCTCGCTGACGCTCAGCGCGCTAAAAATGATTTATTTGTCTACAAATGCGATGCGGTTAGGGAGGGATCATATTACAGATGACGGAGATGCTGATGCACGTTATGAACACGAGCATGCTGATATTTTAAAGTTGCAGAAACCTTAAATTGCGAATCTTTGGGGTGAGCGAGCGCGTTTTAGGCACCGGCCACGTTACTGTTTGTGGCAGAAGAATTTTGAGGGTGATGAAGATATGTTTGCGCTTTGCCTGGCCATGAGTGCTCTGAAAAAAAAAGCTGAGAACGGTGACCGTCAAGCTTCGGAAGAGCGGCAATATACAGTATTGTTGTCTTCGCGTCACAGCCTCTCAAATCGCTGCTTACCGTCTCGGTTTTAGTGTATTGCAACACGTGATCAAACTGCTCTATGGTTATTGATGAAAAGTTTATTACCGCAGGCTACCGTGCGGTGTAGCATTACAACCGCAAGCTCGCGCTGCGCCTTTGAAGCACAATTTTCCGTGCGGGCCAGGAGCGTTGCCGTGCTCATCACTCTCAAAAACAAAACAAAAAGGTTGTAGACCTTACATCTCTTGTCAGATATACGACACTTCAAAACTTCAGTTCGCCATGCAGCCCACTGACGTCAAACTGACGGCCCCAACTTTTACGAGAGGCTTGATGACGGCGCAATATAAGATATTAAACAGCTAAAATACGCATCAAAGAGTACCGAAAAAAAAACAAAAAAAACACCAAGGTTTTGCAGTAGGGCCAAGAAAACCCCGATTTCTTTCTATTTTTTTTACAGTCATTTACACTCACCTAAGCTATTTTAATAAGTTGCACAACTCGGTTATCAAGCCGCTCGTGAAAGTTGGTAGCGCCGGTTGAACGTCCGTGTGCTGTACGTCCAACTGAAGTTTAGGGTTGTCGTACACTATGCAAAAACTGTCTATTAACATAATCGGCCTGTTTAGGGGTTTTATTTATTGCTCTATCAAAAAAAAAATATTTTAATATAACGTACGTTTGTTGTACCGTGTTATTTGCAACATTCCGGTCCCTCTGGCTAAAACTGCGCGTTCTAAACTCTTGTCACAAACGGCTGGCTAACACAGACGCGCTTAAAAGGCCTCGAGCATTTCTTTATTTGCTTTGGAATTACCTGAAACCAAGTACGGGTATTCTGTCTTTTTAAAGGGCTTGGAATAAATGGTCATGTTCCTTGTAACGGCCTTAAAACGCGAACCCATTCCCGATTTGTATTGCTCGACCTACCGTTGCGCGTCAAGTTTTCTCCTATACTTATAGCAAAGAATAGACTTTCCGTAGTCCGTACTAAAGAGTTTTTCATTATTAGCGGGAGCGTTTTCCATCACGTTGAGCACATAATGAGCTGGCGGCCATGCACAAGACCAGAAATCCGCAGCGTATGCGATACACGAAACGTTCCTAATGAAATTAGACCTCCCGGTCCTTTGTGCAAGGCTGTTTCAAGGCGGAGCACATGAATTTCTTTTTTTAACGCGCTCACGTTTTTCGTTAAAACGGGTTCACGCATCAAGGCGGACAGTCATTAGGGAGTTTTAGAATAACGTACGCAATTTTAGCGCACGCTAGCGCTAAATTTAGCGCTTGTATTAGCGCACGCGACGCAAGAAAGTTTTAGAATAGCGTTTCTCCGCCGCGACGCAAAAGCCCAAGCATCTCGCGCTTGCGACGCCACCAAGATACAGTAAAAAAAAAAAAAAAATTATTTCACACACGAAATGCTCGAACTTTACAAAAAAAAAAAAAAAAAAACGAGTTTTTTTTTATCTAGAGTAGCATTTTAATTTGTTTAAACATGAGAACGCGACGCGAGCGGTTGACCGGTCGTGTCCGCCTGCGTCGCCTCGGCAAGAGAGGTATCGTGTACTGACCTTCGCACATCGTTCCTTCGCCGTGAAATGTTCGCGCGTCGCAAGCATCAAGTTGCCGGTGATCACTGCCAAACCGAGTACAATGTCGTCCCGTATTGAAAATTGCAATGGCAAGGATGCCGCCGACGTCGCACTCACGACGCCGCCAAAGCAGCCGCCAACATAATCCTGGAAGCCGCCATTTTTTTTTTAACTGTGCTCGTCTTGGCTTTAGCCAACTTCTCATCACGAATCCTCATTGGAGAAGCGCAAAGACTCTTGCGTACGCACGCTATTTCCGAGAAATAGCACACGCTGAAATTGCGCACGCAAAGCGCAAAACCTGGTTTGCGTTCGGAGCATGCGCAGTGGCGACGACGCTATTCTTTGCGTACGAAAAGCTTTAGCGTGCGCTATTCTAAAACTCCCTATTGCCACCGTTTCCGCGCCGCCGTCACCGCTGCCGTCCCCGCTCCTCTGGGTCTCCGTTCGTCCGTGGGAGGGCGAGCGGCGCGCTGGAGTTGCGAATATAACACGTGTGTTACACGCTTGCCTCGTGTTTGTTTCTTCGGCATTACCCAAGTGTAATAATGCTCTCATGTTTTCAGTCGTTCTCCAGTTTCCATGGACTAGCGCTTATGCCCAAAGCCTGGCATCAGGGCCTGCTGTGCTTATTATAGCACGCAAGCTTAAACGTTCTTCATTGAAACCATGACACGATTGAGGAATGCGCTAGTAACACACAGGACAGGGCTAATGTCATGTTCGTTTGTAAATTTAGCTTAGCTTAAATTTAGCGTTTGTAAATTTAGCTTATCTTAAATTTAGCGTTTGTAAATTTAGAAAGCAAAACAAATCTAATTATATTTTGTTTTTCAGCAAATTCTCCTTGAACCTCAGAGGCTGTTTGCTCAAGGTGGTCGACGATCAAGTTTTCAAACACATACACGCAAAAAAAAAACACACACGCACACAAAAAAAACGTACACATCGCGTTTAGCAGCTGAGCAAAACACAGCGCTCAGTGCGTGTTTTTTCGTGCGTCTATGAAGCTTGAGCGAGTTTTTTAAGTGCACGCTGTGACATTGACCATCATTAGCGTGGATTTCACATGGATTCGAAAAGAAAAAGAACAATTAGCCACAAGTAATTAGTCATTAGTGTAATAAGGCCATATAGTCTACAGACGAAAGGGACTTATCACACCTCTGAAATTTAAAACAAGGCAAGACCACTCGCAAAAAAAAAAAAAAAAGCCCAGCTTATGCACGATTAGGCAAATTAAGGAAACACCACTTCCTTTCAATGGAGCCCATCATATAGGGCTACACGGGAAGAAAAAGCGTACGCTCTTTCCAATGAAGTCAACGAACAAAAGGATAGAGGACCATATCGATGACCTTGAAAACAGCAACCGCCGGTGCAATCTTGTGTTTTACGGCATACCCGACGGAAAGCGCAATGAATCCTGGGAGGAATCAAAGAACCATGGTTGTACGCATTTGTAATGAAAGCATGAAAATCAATCCTACTATGATTCAGAGGGCGCACAGGATTGGTTACTTTAAAGATGGTTTCAAAAGACCATTTATAGTAAGCTTTATGTCTTCGACCGAAAAGAAAGATATTTTACACCCTGGATTTAAATTAAAGAACACCAACTTTAGCGTATCCGAAGATTTCAGTAATTCACTTCGCCAAGAAAGACGTAATCTCTGGAACGACACTGAACAAATAAGGCAAGATAAGAGCAACAAAGTGCATCTTTCATATGTTAAGCTGGTTCTGAACGGCGACGTGTTTATCTGGGACTCTGAGAAAGAGTCGTAGAAAGAAAGCGTAGAAAGAGAAGTACAAGGCCACAGCAATGACGCAGCCCTTTGACCACAAATGTTCAAAGCTTATCAACATCGTCGGACGTTCTTTCCACTGTATTGTTGCTAAACTGCCGTAGCCTTAAAAATAAAGTAGATTATTTAATTTGCCTTGTAGAATCAATAATGCCAAATATTATCATGACCCCTGAGCCTTGGCTCAATGAATCCGTGCTGGACAGTGAAGTATTTCCTGGTGGCTTCTCTGTCTACCGTAACGATGGACACGCACATGGCGGAGGGGTGTTTTTATTAATAGACGCAGGATAGGGCAAGCAGTCAGTTCCTTCCACCACACAATAACACAGAGTCTATTTGGTGCTGAGTTCAACTATCAAAAGGAGGCACTCTAGTCTTGGGCATTTACTATCGTCCCCCAACCATAAACGACATAGATGAGCTTAGTCATGTACTATCTTCGATTCCTGATAGCTCTGTTATTATGGGAGGCAACTTTAATCTTCCCAACGTCGATTGGACGAGTACATACTTTTCAACCGATAACTCTAGTTTGTATAACGGTTTTAACGATCTTATTATCTCGTTATCTCTTAAACAATTTGTTCTCTCACCAAGAAGAAACAGTTCAATTTTAGATTTGTTATTGATTAATAACCAAAGCCTTATGTCTAATGTCACTGTAATCCCTGGTATTAGCGACCCCAGTGCCGTTGTCTGTGATTTCTCACTGAATCAGACTCATAAGACGGCCATGTCGGCTCGAAAAATCATACTGTACGAGAAAGGTGACTACAAAAAAATTTCTCATGAACTTTCAGTTTATTTTCCTCACTTTTTAAACTTGAGCGTGGAGAGTGATGTTGAACATTGGTGGGACATTTTCAAACAAGCGATTAAGGTACTCGTGAACTATTACTTACCATTAAGAATTCATAAGGGAAATAAGAGACATAAACCATAGATTACTCTTCCAATTCGAAAACAAATAAAGCGTAAACGCCGAGCTTTTAAGACGTATCGCACGAATCCGTCTGATAGTGCTATTCAAAATCTCGAAGAAATATGCAGAGACATTAAAAGAAATTTACAAGAAAACAAAAGGACCTTTTATGACTCTTTTCAAGATAAACTCAAGAATGATTCCAAAGAGTTCTGGAAGTTTGTGAAAGTAAATAAAAAAGAACATACCTCTGTAGCGTCTGATCTGCACTAAGTACCAAGATGGTGGACCCGCAAAAATACCGTGGAACACACTGCCGATACTCTAAGCGTAACTCACTTAGTGGCTCTACTCACGACCAAGGAATTATCTTCAAAACACCAATGCAGCAAATGGCATCAGCCACCAAGATACTCAAAGTTTCTTCTTCCCAATAGGACCTCGAACGACCAAGATTAAGGATTTCCAGTCCATCCTTGATTTCCTCGAGGACGCCGACCTCCCATCGTGACCCCAAGTGGAATGAGAAATATAATTCGGAGTGGGGAGGCTAACCTTTCGTTCCGCATTTCCTCTCTTTCCAGCTTATTTTCTCAATAAAGTCACTCGCTCAAACAACGAACACCGAACGTTTTTAATTCTATATTTAAGGATCAGGCAAAGAGCAGAAGCTGACGAGAAATTGCAACGGCCAGGGTCTTCCGGCGTTACAACCGCTACGAAGTCACGTAATCAGTGTGGAAGGATTTAGCTGTGCCGGCACACATTATGGAACGACGCATTGTTCCTATCGTTAGGTTCCCGTCACTTACTCAGGGTGGGCGAGAAAGATGTGGCCAGGTAACCACTGAGAATCAGTCAAAGCAGCGCGGAAAGATGACCTGGAAGGGCACATGGGCTGATCCAACTTCGACGCTAGGGAGGCCTGAGCTATGCTCGGCTTTGGGTGAAGCCTCCACAAGACGCACGAAGGGGGACCAGACGGGCCATCCTTAATGTCCGTCTCGAAAAAGTGCCTACCGCACTGTTGAGTTGCTGGAGGTAGGTAGACTTGTTGTGGAGTCTTTACTTGAAATGGGCTTCAGTCATTTTCCACGGCACCGGGTGCAGCTTGGGGCCTAATCAAATGACAGACCCGGCAGGTTCTTGCCCACAGCAACCATGACAAATGCCAAAAACAGCACCAAGAATACAACGCGCGAGAGGCTTATTCACATCGTTCACATTTTCTGTCTTGTGTGGCTTAGCGGCGCGCTTTTGTAGTTATAGGTGGCTACCGGCTATTCGGCAGGCATTATCAGTATACAGGAGGTTATGGTCAACATATGGGACACAATTTTTAGGCTGCTGGCTCACTCAAGTTGTCTAGACTATATCATATTCAATAAATCTGACTTTTGAACACGCATTGAAAAAAAAAGAGAAAAAAAAAACTGTACGTTTTAGACACGAGTCCTGGTTTTTTCTACTGCAAATTTGTTAAAGTAGTGGCCTTGAAGAACTCTCTTAGAAGTTGGCCTCATCGTTTGGTTTTGCGTACACTGTCATTGTAGATAGTCCCTGAGTTCGTACCCGAACATCTCGAAGTCGAAGAAGAACCGCTCATATAAACGCATCACCTGGTCGAAAATGAGTTCTTTAAAAAACTCTCGGGCAGACTTGCGCAACCCGTGGCCGCCACTCTCGTTTTCGTGCGGAATGTCCTCCTGCCGAGCACCCAGTTCTCTAAGGAACAGCGCGAAGTCCCTGCTTGCTGTCTCCAGTTTTCCGATGACCTTGTACTTGACGGTGCAAGGCTGGCACGTCACGTAGTACGGAGTCCAATGAGAGTCCATCTGGTTCACTGTCTGATTCAGTATATAATCAATGAACTCCGGGAAGGTCAAGTTCCGACCCGTTGCCCTGACGCCAGGCACGTCGTTCCAGTACCGGTCGTAAAAATAGGCATTGGTAGCACGTGGGCCTAGAACCTTGTCCACGTATGCGGATACTAGCCTCTCGAAGGGATGCCTCACGAACATGGCGGTTGAGTAGCGCTCCTGTCTGCTCCTCTGTAGGAACGTCACGGGCGACAGTGTGCGGACCTGCTCATGGAATACCCTGTGGAAGCTGTTAACTGTTTTTTCCGTGTTGTTGATGTTCAGCAGGAGACCGAAGACGGTCTTGATTGTGGAGGATGCAACCTTGCTGATGAAACAGTAGCCGACTTTCCGTGCGGGTTCCATGATGATAGAACATTCTCGGTTGTCACAGAAGCCGGGCCGTTCGTAGCCGAACTTGCGCTTCAGGAGGCGTCTGTTGTGTTCCGCCAGGGCCACCTGGTACGTGCGACACACTTTGTGGATTTTTTGTGCTCTGAACGCGAAGTCATCGTCGTGGCGTCTGGAAGTCTGCGCAAACAAAATCAAGAACAAGAAATTAATAATAGACGCGGGAAGTGCAAAAGAGTACTCGTTGAAGTTGGTATACACTGCGGATTGCGGGCCTTGAGCACGCGTGCTGAATGTGTGCTCGAAGAGTCGTCACAAGATCTCGCTGTTAACGCAAAGCTCGTCCGTACAATCTAGGAAACGTCCTTATTATCCATAACATACTGTAGGGTCGAGTGTATCCATGTCGATTTCATTCCCGCTTTTAAACAATGAGAGCTCAAATTTTCTAGGATACCGAAGAACACGAAACAAAACTATCATTTTCATTTTCTATGCGACAAATAGGAAATCCGAAAACGGCCAAAGCAAAGTTTATTCAAAGGAGTTCCGTTAGGACCACACTTGAAATATCGGCAGAAGAAATCAGAATCGGAATAACTACTACGGTCACTGACAGGATGGGAAAGGCAGGGCGTTTCTTTGGATGCCCGGCCACCACTGCGCCCCCGTTGCCTTCCACCGTTCTTTGGCTGCGTTTGTACGCTCGAAGCTCACGAGACGCTGGAGCAATATCGAAGGTAGGAAGATCGCTCGGGAGACGGGAACACTGAGGGGCGTCCCTGCCGTTCTCATTCTTTCAGTGACTATAGCAATAGCAGTGCGTATTACCTGTTCTCTGGTCGTGCCGCCAGATGCTGGCGTTGGGCAAGAAGGTGGCCGTCGTAACCAATCAAAATATACCAGCGAGACAACAATTGCTGCACACAAAACAGCCAAGGCTATTTTGCGGGTCGTACGAGTCGACTTATTAGACATGGGTGTACACTCTTGAGGACTCCAACCACACGGGCGCTGACCCGACCAAGAATAGAGCGCTTCGACGAGGGCGCAGTCGGTTCCCTACTACGCGAATGGCGTATACGGTTGCAACGGAGCGAATGTTTTTATTTTATCCTTCCGATTGTCACAGCTGTAAGAAACATGCGCTATATTGCTCAAATGATCATGCCACATTCTGCAAAATGACTCTACCAGCGGAGGGGGGGGGGGGGGGGGGGCGGGGGGGATAATCAACGAGGCAGAGGGGCTTAGAATTTTGAACCGGAAGTTAGAAAGCAGCACATGGGCTCGGATTGGGGCCATGTTGTACGCAAAAGTGACTACTCTTCACGTGACCTCACAAAAGCTGTGACGTCACAGGTAAGATGGCAGCGCCCAGCGCTGGTAGATACGAGTTGGTTCAGTGCGCGGTGGTCGCGATGTGCCGCTGCTTGTCGTCGATTTCGGACTTTTCAATATTTTTATATAACGTGCTGCCATTGCAGTAGCTTGCATTTAATCGGAGTATTTTGTTTTGTGTGAAAAGCTGGCGGTCGCTTATGCGAACTGTTAAAAAAGATTCGAACCAATCTTCTTCCAAGCCGAACCTTCTCTCAAGCCGAACCAATCATTAGGAAACTAGTTTATTTCTCAAGCTCTCAAAACAGTTCAAGTATCCCCTTGGAACTCACAAGGGGGGATCGGTGGCCGAGTGGCCGAGCGCATAGCTCGGAGCAGGTGGAGCGAAAGCTCGCACTGCAGAACCCAGGGATCCTCTGTTCAAGCCCCAACCGGCCCGTTTCGATCTGGATGAGCGTCGTACCGGTGTGCGGTCGTGTATCACTACTGCGTGGTGCACGTTAAAGACCCCACGCTAGCGGTTGTACTGCACTGGCTAGATTGCTCATCTACAGCTGGGGGACAAGTCGCCCGTTGAGGCAGTCTAAAGGCTGTATAAAGACACATGCACCCCAATTTTTTTTTTTTTTGAGCCCGCAAGACAGTATGTCAATTTTCACATTTTCGATAGCGCAGTATACAAATTACTGCAGCCGAAGTCCCTTAGAATTTAGTATTCGAAAGCCTTTGGCCTTGCCAATCAGTATCAAGCATTAAAACTTAAGTATAGTTTATGATCAGACTCCTCCTATATGGTTGTCTCATCCATCATTTAAAAATCAAGAATGCTAAAAAATATGCAGTACTATCTCTTCACATATAAACAATTCTTTAAATTTAAAGCAACTCGAAATTGGAGCTGCACATTTTTCACTTTCGTAGGACTTATTGCTGCCATAATTTTGTTCGTAAAGTGGTTATTGTATCAGTCGGTTGATTCTTTACTTGTTCTAGTTACCCAGGCACAATAACTTGTACATGTGTTCGCCCGAACTGACCAAAGATGCAGTCTTGTAGCAAATTGATGACTACCACTTCTTTCAGTATCTGCTCCTTTTCCTTTCCTCCTCCTCCTCCCCCTCTCTTGAGGTATTTCGGTCTGCGCGATATACTGTGATAAACTGAGAATGATATATATATCATGGTTTTATCGAAGGATATTTTAGCTGGCATGCTAGAATGAACACAGCAGGCCCTGGAAATTGGAGAACTGCTATTCCACGGAAACTGGAGAACTGCTTAAAATAAGAAAGCATTATCATACTTGGGTAATGCTGACGAAACAAACACGAGGCAAACGTGCCACATATATGTTCTGTCTAGGATTCCGTTATTTCGGAATTTATTTCTCGTGAAATTCGGAGGATGTTTTTTGGAGTTTATTTGTCGCGGAATATTCGGGGTTTTTCAGAGTTTATTTTTGTTGCATTCCAATATCTCCGAAATTTGGAGTTTTATATTACTCTGCTCCCATTTTTTATCTCCAAATTTAGTGGTTGAAGATTTTAATGAAAACTAAAATGGCATTTCTTCAGGACCACTGACCCCATGCCCTTATAAAATTCTTGTCTAAAACATCACCTTTCTTTCGTATTGAGGATACTAATCACAAAAAAAAAAAATAAAAGATAACGACTACGAGAACATGAGTAGCACATATGGCAGGGCGTAACACTCAACTAAATTTTATTAGAATACACACCGTATTTACTAGAGAAATAGCCTCACTATTTATGAACAAGGACCTTGCGTCTACTTTCCCACAGAACAGATATACAACCAATCATTGCGTTGCGTATAAATAACATAGAAAATAACCAGATCGAGAATACGATTCTCCATAAAAATTCAATCTTCAAAGATCGTATCTTGTCACAAAGACGTTATCTCTGTTCTATAAACAGCTGGAATCATGCTGTCGAACGCGGCGATTGGCAATCTGCATGCTCCGCGGAAAAGCGAACCCTCTGACTTTCTTCTTAAACAGTGCGGCTATTACTGGAATAAATACGGCATATAAAAATTGCAAATCTGCACATGCCCAAATATGCTTTTTCGGTAAAACTGCACATGCGTTGAAAGTCGTCCGGACTTTTCGGGGTTTTAACCTCAGCGTTTCCTCTTTGCGGATGTGCAGTTTTACAATTTTTACATGTGTATTTTACAAAGTTTTTGTTGCCGAAGTAACGACCTTTCCCGTGTATTACTCATGTTCTTGTGCTCGTTTTTTTGCGTCAATTTTTATTATGAATCAGAACCAAATACCCCAACTTGCACTTTTAATACGTTTCCTTTTTTTATTTCTGTTTTGACCTCGACATCTAAATATTTCAAATTAATCCGATTAAAAAAAATTACCCGAGGGCGTTGTTTTTTTGGGATTTATCCGAAAACATAGAAGCCTAGTTATACGTCACATGTTATATACATATTTAGCATGCAGCACAGCAATGTGTCAATAAAACCAATCATGAGCATGTGCACTATCCTACGTAAGGTCCGCAGCGAATCAGATTGCGGAATGAGCCGATAAAAAGGGGGAAGAGCCAATCACGAAGAGAGGAGCGTCAATTAATATAATAAACCACGCCCCCGCGGTGTCAGGGACTAAAGTGTCCAACGTATCATTCGTTCCCTAGGAATGGGGTACTGGAGTGCTTTTGTTTTTCTTGAAGCTTGTTTTTGATGGCATATTTTTTGTTTGGCTTTGCTCAACAAAAAAGACAAGTTTTCGACGGCAAGACGTCTTTGTAAACTCACAGCGATAGTAATGCACCGGCGCTATTCTCTTTTGTATTGAAGGGGAGGGGGGGGGGGGTAACTTGGGGTCCTTATTACCTCCCTAAAATTCGACCAAAAAAAAAATAGTCAAATGCTTGTATGTACAAAATGTTACTGCTATTGCTCTTGGTCGCGTTGTGCATTATAATTTGACGGAAAACGTCAACTGCTCGGGTGTTGTTCGAAAACGCCGTCTGATGGTGCCCCCTGGTGTCTGTTTTAGGGCACAGAAAGATGAGAGTGTCACGATCTTCGATTATATGTTTAATATAGTAATTGGCCGCCGTGAGTGTAATTTCATATTTTTTTTCCATCATCCCGTAGAGTGAGTTATCATCATAACAAGACGATCTCAGAAACCACTTGTGCGCCCCTGGCACCGATCAGACCGCGTTAAAAGAGCGCCATCCTGGTGTTCTATTACTGCTGAATCGAGCATAAACAGAAAATGCCAAATGAGTTGCGCTCTTGACGCTGCTAATCAGTTGGCCCCATTAGCTCGTAGCGTGGGACTGAAAACCCTGGTCAAAAACGAAACCACAATGAATGACGGGTATCGGTTTAGTGGCACGAAATAGGATCACAGCAGAAATATTACGTGAGAGTAAAGCTGCGTTCTTCACTAATACCGATTTTAAAGGCGCGACCAGCTGCCCTTTAGGCGGTGGCGAGCGGGTTAGGTTTTAGTCGAGCAACACTGGGCGACGCGTACCGCAACACCACCGTGACGTCACATCGCGGCCATACAACTGATATCAGTGTTGCCTTCCCTCTCCTCAAGATGGTTTCGGTTTTGCCGTACAAACGTGAAACCAGAATTTGAGCAGTTATATTTATAAAACAACACACAATATAAAAAAAAGGATAGACCTTGTGATTGATGGACACTGACTGAACTGAAAACAGTCGTAATCCCAAATTCTAAAATATTTACCGGAGTTGCGTTTTAAGCTGAAACGAACTATAGGCAAACTTGTACAATATTTTTAACAATCTGACGGGGGCGTCCACCGACTGGCCAATCACACGAAGCACTGGGTATCTTTACCGTCACGGTGGTTGATGCAGGGCATTGTTTATACCTGAAATGTTTCGCTATATCCTAGCGCCAGTCATCTTTTAGTTCTCTTCATAACGATACCTTATATAGAAACTTCCTTTCTCTCTTGCTTTTCAAGAAAATGATGATTTCTCAAACAAAAATGAATCTGGCATTCGAGCATATCAGAGTCCTATTTACTGACAGAGTTTGGCGTAGGGGTGCAGCCTATCGCCCGCTAAAACAAGCGGACTTTACGATAACAGAATTTGGTGGAATTAACTTTTAGCCGCTGTACTTACGTGCGCTAGTCCAAACGCACGGTTAGTAGTTATTTTATAAACACAATGTTTTGTACTGTGACATTTTGATATGCCTGCAATCGGTCACTCTATTCAAGCACTGGCCGCCCCCCCCCCCCCCCCCGCCCCTTTTATTGAACTCCGACAACAAAACTTGCAAATAAGCTTTATTTCTATTGGTTTTAAACAAAAATAGGCTTACTCAACCAAAAACAGATTGAGGGCAAGGGTTAGCAGCACCTCTCCGAGATGGCGCCCGTCGTGGCACTGCACCTTTTTATGTGGCCATTTTTGAGACCTAACGTTCAAAGTATTCAAAATTTACTCTTCATCCATCCATGCATTCATCCATTTATTCACGTTCCTTGCTTCTT